ACTTCCAGGAGGCCCGTTTTTCACCCTCCCCAAGCCTCCTCATGGGCCCTGCACTTACCTGTGATCCAAAACAGGGGTGGGGCCAGCCAGGGGTGGGATTTGCCGGTTTGCCGAACTGGCCATAAAATTAACTACTGGTTCGCCCAAACCGATGTGAACTGGTAGCAGCCCACTCCTGTGCATAACTATATATATGTGTGTATGTGTGTGTGTGTGTATATATATGTATGTATGTATGTATGTATGCATGCATGCATGTATATGTATATGTATATGTATATGTATATGTATGTATATATATGAAGGTCTAAGTGTGTTCGGGTCTTTTCCCATGTAAGATTAAGAGTATCTTGGCGACGTTTCGGCGAGGTCCCACTCGCCATCCTCAGGCTGGTGCTTTTGGCTTCGTGCTTGCACTGGCACTAAGCCGAAAGCACCAGTCTGAGGATGGCAAGTGGGACCTTGCCGAGATGTCACCAAGATACTCTTAATCTTACATGGGAAAAGACCCGAACACACCTAGACCTACATACCTGTACCAGTGAAAATCTACGAATATATATATATATATATATATTGCACATTCTTCAGACTTCTATATGTATCATTGATAGGAACCATTTCTCTAGTTGAAAAGTCCTATTTTTCTAAGAATAGGATTTTAAATATCCACTTGTCCAATTACAACAACATCCATCATAATAGATATGCATATCTTTCCAGTTCTAGTTCTGTGCATGTTGCCTATAGCCGGAACATTGTGAACACATGCTAATTTTCAAGCTAAAAATGACCCAGGTTTTATGGAATTAGAAAGAAGGACAATGGTTAACCTCTGTTAGGAGTTAGATAAGCATCAACAAAATTCAAAGGTGGTGGTGGACGTTAGTTTGCTTGTGGCTAGGTAGAGATTCTAGGCTGATCCCACTTTTAACTCCACCCCCAAATTCTGCCACTTCTTCCCTTACATTGTTTATAATATAGCTATTTTGCTATATTTGTTGTTGTTTCCTTTTACACACTCCCCCCACATTTATATCTATTTTCTTTTATGTGCTGCTTCAGTGCCTTACCCTTTTCCCTTTGAAGGTTAGCAATCAATTGAATGACTAAAAATACCATTTACTCAAAATTCCACCATATTCATGGCTCTTCATATAGAGAAACATGCTTAAAATTACAATATACATAACCACATACATATATCTACACAAGATAACATAATAATAAAATGCCAATTCAAACAGCAGCAATATTATCATCCACTTGGGACTCCAGTTTATTTATTTATTTATTTAATTTATTTGTCAAAAGCTTACAATGTAACAGGAACAAGTATAAACTTAAATTTAAATACAAGAAATAGGAACTAATAATTGGAGACAATAGGACAGGGACAGTAGGCACGATTGTGCGCTTATGCACGCCCCTTACAGACCTCTTAGGAGTGGGGTGAGGTCAATAGAAGTTAGTTTGAGGAGTGGGGGTTTGAGCAGGTAACAATAGAATCAAGTAATGAGTTCCAGATATTGACCACTGTTACTGAAATCATATTTTCTGCAATCGAGTTTGGTGTGGTTTACATTTAGTTTGTATCTGTTATGCGCTCTAATGTTGTTGTTGTTAAAGCTGAAATATTCCTTAACTGGTAAGATGTTGTAACATATGATTTTATGTACTAAGCTTAAGTCTAATCTTAGTCGGCGTAGTTCAAGGTTGTCTAAGCCAAGAATCTCAAGTCTGGTGCTGTAGGGTATTCCGTTGTGAACAGAGGAATATAGTACTCTTCTGGTAAAATACTTCTGGACTTGCTCAATTGTATTTGTGTCAGATATACAGTGTGGATTCCAGACAGCAGAGCTGAATTCAAGTATTGGTCTAGCAAGGGTTTGAATGCCTTAGTTAGCAAAACAGTATTACCAGAGGAGAAGCTTCGTAAAATTAAATTTACAACTCTTAAAGCCTTTTTGGCATTACTGTTGCAGTGAGCTTTGGCGCTTAGATCATTCGATATGAGAACTCCAAGGTCCTTGACAAAGTGAGGGTCATCAACAAAGTCATATCTATCTAGATTATATTTGGTATATAGATTTTTTTTTACCAATGTGTAGGACAGAGCATTTGTTGGTAGATATTTGGAGTTGCCAATTGTTAAGACCATTCAGACACATAATCAAGGTCTTTTTGAAGGGCGGTAGCATTGACGGTGGTGTTGAATAGTTTTACATCATCAGCGAAGAGGACACAGTTGCTAATAAGGTGATCACAAAGATCATTTATATAGAGTGTAAAGAGTGTGGGTCCTAGAACACTCCACTATTAACTGGTGCAGGGTTTGATAGGGCGTTTCCTATTTTTACTATTTGTTGTCCATTTGTCAGGAAGGCAGTAATCCACTTGTGAAGGGATCCGGAAATGCCATAAGAACTTAATTTTAATAGTAATGTTCTTCTGTAGTGTTACAGAGAACAAACAGAATGTGCCAATCAAGAGATATGTCGGCAACTACGAGTTCATAATTGCATTTTTTTAAATTGTATTTTGGAGATCCAACATTATAATCCTCTTTTAGTGGGTGTAAATTTAGACAAAAGTCAATCATGCTATGGTCACTGTTAGAAAATGGTCTCTGTATTTGTAGGCCATTAAATTGAGTTTGAGCTGTTCCCCAAAGACCCAGAGAAATAGCCTGGTCTCTGCAAAGTTAACCAACAACTCAGAGAAATGAGCAGGGTCAGGGCCAATTATGTCACAAAGAAGGTCAGCCTATCAGTCTTTCCAATGATAACCAGCATCTGGAATTGCACTTGGAAGCCCATTTGAAATCAGTGCAGCTGGCGTATTCAGTTACCATTTAGGGGCAAATATATGTATGTTTTTACTTTTGTTCTCACCATTTATCTGAGAGAAGAGAAACTTTGATAGATATCAATGTTTCTTTTTTGTTGTTGTTGTTATAATTGAATTTGTTTGGAATTTTGAATTTGTATTTGAAAGTAGAGTTAAACTGTATTAATGAAGAACACCTAGCCTCAGGTCAAATCTTGGGAAGTAAGAAACTTGCATCCTTCATTGCTCTGGAAAATATTGCTGCACTGTGGATTTTGTATTTCATGAAAAGCACTTGTATTGTTTTGTATCATTCAGAGTATCTGACTAAACAATGTGTTACACAAGACCTACAGTGTTCCTCTATAGAAACCATGCATAATCTTGGATAAGCCTTCATCTCACTGATTCAGAATTAGAATCTGTCATGAGCATATATCCTTGAGGTGTCAGAAGATAACTTTGCCAGATGGACATATGAAAACATTTCTGCATTCAGGGGATTAAATTATTTCAGACAGATGCAAACCTTTTGACTAGTACTAAAATCCTATCAGTTACCTTGTATATGAAGAGCCTCAAGACATAATTCCCTGAACTTCTTTCTGTAGAGATGAAAATTCTGCAGTTCTTATGACTGAATTATGGTCCGGAACAGCGATGATGACCCTGATACAGGTGTGAAAGGTGACACGCCACAATGTTTTAGGTGACACATCAGCATTCACCAAAACCCAGCAACTATTTTAGAAAACACGTCCTTTTCTTGTGTGATTTTTGGAGGCTGCAGAAGGGGTGGGGTCTTGTACCTCTGAAAATGGCATGAGAATAAAGTTTTCATCTGGCTTTTAGAGGCTGCAGAAGAACATTCTTCATTCAAGAATGAAAGCCTTGTGTGAACCAGAACAGTCTCAGGTTGACACCAGGGGAATCAACAGAAAAAGAACACTGCCTGAAGGTAAGCAGATGTTATGAAACACCCAGCCAGGCAGGAAGACTCAAGCGGATAATCAGCTTTGAATCCTTGTGCAAACACAAGAGATCCTGAACTGATATCCTCAAACTCCATAGAGCCTTATCTATCTGATTCCAAGAGAAGGCAAGCACTCTAGAAAGATTCCTATATATTAGGCAGAGTTTAATATAGTCAACTTCAACTCTATACACGTGGATCTGATTGCTTGTGCACGACAAATCCTGGAAAGCACCGTATCACTAAGCACTTTTTTTAAAAACAAAAACAGGTATGTTTACTATTGGTTTTGCAGTGCTCAAATTCATTTATATGAAGTATGTGGAAATATCAAATTTGCAAGCCTTTCATCAGGAAAGCATCACCACAGATTAAGAAAGGATCAGGATAACCCAAGTTGGAGGTAATGTTGTTAAGATTACAGTAAACCAGCAGAGAAAATAAAATTAAGTATTTAGTAACTGTACATGTATAATTATCTCCCCTTTAGCATATGAAATGTTTTGTGGGTGAGCTGTCTTCTTCACAAATACATTTTCTGATCTGATGCTGGTATCAGAGGTGAATTGCAAGCAATAACAATGTAAATCTTGTTGCTGATATGAATATCCTAAAGACATTCCTAGAACGTAAGAACATAAGCAATGCCCTCCCAGCTGAATCAGAACTCAGGTCCAGCAGCTTGTTCTTGCAATGGTCAACAACTGCAGAAGAAAGTCCACTTGCAGATGGCCTTCAGAAGCAGTCATCCTGCCATCAAGGCTAAGAGCCATTGATCCCCACGACTACCATGAGTTTTGAAGCCAGTTAAGTCAACACCATTTCTTGTGATAGCAATTTCCAAAATAGAAATACAGGTAGTCCTCAACTTACAACATTTCATTTATTGACCATTCAAAGTTACAATGGCACTGAAAGTGACTTGTAACTGTTTTTCATACAACTGTTGCAGCATCCCCAGTCATAACATCAAAATTCAGATGATTGGCAACTACCGTATTTTATATTTATGACACTTGGTGTCCTGGAGTCATGTGTGAAAGGAGTCACCCTTTATGACCTCGTGACAAGCAAAGCCAATGGGAAAGCCAGGTTAATTTAACTGTGTTACTAATTTAGCAACTGCAGTGATTCACTTAACAGTGGCAAGAAAGGTCATAAAATGGGCAAACTCACTCAACAAGTGTCTCACTTAGCAACATAATTTTGGGCTCAATTGTGATTGTAACTCAAGGTAAAAGCCACTTTTTGTCTGTCCCGATTTTTCCAGGATTCCATTGAGTGTCCTCTGGTTTCTAGTATTTTTGGAAGGGGAAAATAGCTACTTTTTGCCACTTTATCTACATTATGCAGTTTTGTACACCTCAATCATAGCCCCTCTCCTTCACCTCTTTTCTAGACTAAAAAAGCCCCAAATGTTGCAACCTTTCCTTATAGGGAAGCAGTTTGAGTCCCACGATTATCTTAGTTGCCCTCCTCTGAACAACCTCTAACTCCACTGTATCCTGGTTGAGGTTGTGGCAACCAGAACTGCATATATTCCTGATGTGGTCACACCACTGATTTATATTACAATGTTGGCACTCCATTTTAAAATCTGTTTCTGATTATCCCTACTGTGCTGTTGAACGTTTTTTAACAGTAGATGCATTATTCCTTCTACCCCAGCATCTCATTGTAGGTTTTGCAAATATATTTGCAGCTGAAACTTTATATAGAACTTTTAGTATTCCCTTCAAACTGCTTTCCATTCCTATGACTGTATCCGGAGCAGATAAAAAATAAAGGAAAAGCAGTGCAGATTTAGAAGCAGGATATTGGTTTATTTATAATCAGTTAAGTACTAGTGGACAGATTAGTACAATAAATAAAGTTTGTCCCATGTACTCTCCATTTTTCCTCTACATAAGTTGTCAAAGTGAAGGGATCTAATGAGAACCCTAGATCCAAAAGAATCCTGCCACTTGCCCTCCAATACAAGCAATACAAAATAAGTTGTGGAAGGAAGAAAAAATAAAGTGCAAATTAAAAGGCAATTTAATGCTGGTGGCTTGTATCACAGCCCACTAAATGTGGAAAGGTATTTGGCTGATGAATCTCCTCAAACTCCTCCACAAATTCTCCTCAAACCATCTTGTGCATTTAACCACCGAAGGATACAGACTCCCAAGCTCCTCCATGGCAGGGAGAGCGAGAGGGAGAGAGCTCCAGCACAGAAAGAATATTGCACATTTAAGTCAGAGGCAAATGATATGGTTTTGCCAGCACCAGGACATTCAGCTTCAGGTGTTTGTTTCCTTTCATGTCCTTTGCCCTCATTATAAAACTGCAAGATAGCAGAAGTTACTCTGGATTTGGTTTTTGTGCTCAAGTCGTGCTATTATACATTCTTCATTACAGCAGAACTTCTTGTTGTATCCCACAATTAAAACCCAAAATGCACAAATTAAAATGCTTCTGTATCACTGCTGCCCGGATAACCTTTGGAGGATACAACTTCTGTTTTTCAGACAATTCTGCCTGCCACAAATCAAGCTGGTACAAGAAGCTGTGATTTGCGAAGTACTAAAAGTCCCACAGATGCAATTGCCAAATTCATGGCTTACTCAAATGGGATTACACTTTGGATCCCACCATTCTATGTCTTAGGATCTTTCACTTTCTCTCTTAGCTAGCTCAGAGAAGAAGACACATGTATGAATACATGCATAAAGTCAGGACATACAGGAACTTTTGCTACAGCACTCAACAGTGAAATGCCATAGAATATTGTTTCAGGAGTGCTGCTATCTGGTATAAGAAACTTTTCATTGTGCAGATGGTGCATTTTAAAAATGACTGGTTCCACACCCAAATCTGTATGAAAGTTAGATAGCAGCAACATACTGTAATCAGGATCCACTTTTCTTCCTGATGGATGAATCAATAATTCTTATGCACTCGGCAAATAAACTTGGGTGAGAGCCAGATATGGGACTTCTCTCCGCTCTAGACAAGACACATTTTGCCTTCCATGCATTTTTTTTGGCAAGCTAGTGTTTTGCAGGTTAAAATTCAGACCACAGCACAGCCTTGTTTCCTTTGTCCACACTGATCACATGGGCTCCAGATGGTGACCATGCCACAGCATTGATGGGATTGCTGAAACAAAAAAGATGACATAAATGTTATTAGATCCCTGAAAGGCATAAAATTTGAGTTAAGGAGGAAATGTTGCTCTGTCTCCACAGAGCTATTTTTGAAGATTATTGCTATTCGCTAAGTAGAACGAGAAACATTTGGCTCAAAGATGTGTTTCCATTGATCTCTTCATGGTTTCCAGTAATGTTCTGAGCACTTAACATAAGCCTTACAGTCTGGGAATAATACATGTACATATAGGGATCATCAGCATATGTAGGGATCATCAGCTTCAGGAAGGTTGCCTTGTAGGCTAGTTTCCCCACCAAATGTAGAAGGTTCTGATTTTAACAGCATTATCTTGACTCACCTGTGATGCTTGGAAAGTGTCCTTTCCACTTTTCCAGTGAGCACACTCCATATATAAAGTGATCCATCTGCTGAGCCAGCCACAACATAATTTCCATCAGGGCTGGAAAAAATCAGATTTGGAGCAGAGAAAAAATGTGTTATTGCTATTTGTAGTACAATGTGCCATTAGTTGATGGAAATCCCCCAAAAGTCTAGAACAGATTTTAACCAAATGGAATGAATATATTTAACTGCAAAGGTGACACTAAATTAGTTTTCCTCCTACCTAAACACTAAAAATAAGTATAAAATGAACACCTACAAACCCTACAACTAATTAGATGCTCTGAATCTTTTCTTCTGATCAGCAGGAACAGAATGTAGCTTCATACCAATAAAGAATAACTTCATCTAATTATCTAATCTAATATGCTAAGCAAGTACCTCTACATACTGTATACAAATAATAAAAAGCCAGAAGGAAATACCGCATCCAACCCAAGTTTGGGTAGTTCAGCTTCTTACCTGAATACAACTCTAGTCCAGTCAGACCCACATTTAAATCCTGGAGCACTGGAAGAAAAAGCCCACCACAAAATATTAAATGTATCTTTCCAATTCATTTTATAGGAAGCTACAAAAAGACATCTTAGCCACACAAACCTGAAAAATAATAATTGAAATAACCAGGTCTTTTTCTTTCTTTTATTAAGCACATCTACATCTACATTAGGATGTCATGGACAGTCAACAAAGATATTTTTCAACAACAGGCTGCTTATTGCCATTAAGTGTCAACAGAACAAGCTCTGAATTCCTGGCTTTTGACAAAGATGAGAAATCTACAACTCACTTGCAGAGCCATACTCACCTGAATGTGTGTTTGACAGCATTGATTCTGAGATCAATAATTTTCAACAGATCATCACGAGAACATGTAAGAAGCTCTGTTCTCTCAGGGTTCAGATCCAGAGCTGTAATCCTTCCCAGCAATTCCACTTCCCGTACCACACTTTCAGTTCTAAAATCAAAATGTAACACAAGCTAACATTTTATTAATGGTACAGAAGCCTCATTAAAAATGTTACAGTGGATAAAGGATGTAATCAGTAGCATAAGTTATACACTCATTCAGTTAACTGATATACCGCTTTGCAACTTAGAAGAAAAAGTGTTTAAATCCAGCCTTTTTAAAACAGCAATAGGTAAATTTACTTTAGAACACTAGCATTCTTGTGGCAGTCGCTGAAGAAAAGTATTTTTTCCCATTGGCCCTAAGTGCATTATATTTTTCACCAGAGTACTGAATCCTATCAGCTTCCTAAAAGCTGAACGTGAAGGTGTTAATCATTAAACCACATGTATTGTTGGAATTTCCTAGGTATGGAAGCAGGAACATTTTTCTGACCAAGTTTGTTTTCAGGAGAACCAAAAGTCTAATAGTGTGGCTTTAGGTATTGTTTATTTCTCTCCTCAGGTCTGACTAATACATGTTTTTCAAAGTGTATGAGTTCACATTGCAAGGCAATCACTCTTCATTTGAAACATGTAAGATCTTTTGCAGTCAAAAGTTCTGAATCTGAACGTGGTTCTGATCTTACTGGAATCATTCTGACATCAAAATGTATCTCCCTATTTCAAAAGGAAATTGCACTCACCTAATGTCCCAAAAGCGAATTTTCTTATCAAAGTGTCCACTCATTACACATTGTTCTGTGCAGACAAGATCATTGCAGCTGGAGCCAGCAAACACCGTTTTTATACCTTTAAAAAGATGAAGTTACTAATCATGTAATTGAATCCACAATTTTTCTTCTACAAAAGCCTCCTAAAATTGTTATTTAAACTAATGTTAGCAAAGAAATTTTACTGTATATTCTGCCTTACTATATATTATTGAATTTTATGGCAGAGAATTTGTTTTGAATATATTACAACAGAACAAAATTCTGGAGAAAGTGCCATGGGGCAGGACACCTATGTAGTTTTGAGTTAGACAAGGGATGGAAGAGAAGATGCTTTCATTGTATTATCATGTTTCCAGGGGTGAAAGGATTCCTTGGCTTTGTATTCAATTTGTATTCAATGAAACATTCAATTTCAAATCCTGAGAAAAGCAAATTCTGTTAAGATATTGGTGTAGAATTTCCTCCGTCTATATTTAGAAGATATATCTTCTATATTTAGAAGATAACTACTCTATGTCTTTATTAGGTTTATCTTGAAAGAACTAAAAAAGCTAGGAATATGAACTTACATAAGCTACCTAGGTAGTGATCCCCATCAATTTTCTGAAGCACAAGGAGAAAAAAGAGAGGATAGACATAAAGAGCAATTTCCTCATTTTTAAAGAATGAATGGCAACATATTAGATTGGTCCATCCCTTCTGATATGTGACCAGGCCTGATGCTCCCATGGACCCAGACTTGTTTTGAGAGCTCCACTGTATGCTTGCTTCACTTATGCTTGTATTTTTTAAGATATTCATTAATTAATTATAATTTTTATATTTGCTGTTATTATATCTTTTGTTTTATCTATTTTATGCATTGCCCAGAGTCACTTTTGATTAGATGAGCAGCTACATAAATTAGATTAATAAATCCACATTTCTTTTATACTTGGCAGAAGTGGCTAGTTGATAGCTAATTGATTCTCTGGATTTGGAGAAAATGGCTGCAGTTCAGAGCAATTTTTAAAGACTTTTTCTGCTTTTATTATTTTTATAAGTAGCTCAAGGCAACTAAGATTATCTAATTCTTCCTTCTCCTATTTTCCCCACAACAACCAACCTATGAAATGAATTGGGCTGAAAGAGAATGACTATTTTATTAAATAAACATTTAAAATTTCAATTATATATAACACTTAAAAGTTAAAAAGTCCTTCCAAATTGTCAGGAACACCAGAGAAATAGCAGTAGATGGACACCTTGAGCTAGCTGGAAATTGCACAACAACTTTATCTGCTTGTTTATCAAACTTAAAATGCCATCCATCTAGCCAAAGGCAACTCTGGGCAGCTTACAAACATTGAATAAAATACAGAATAAAGCATTAAATAATAAGTATTTTAAATTTAAAAATGTAATTAAAATAAAACTAAGCAGAATTGAGAGGGGGGCACAAAGTGCATATAGAGATGATGCAGGGTATTCTTTACTGCAGTGTTTCTCAGCCTGGGCCATTTTAGGATGGATGGACTCCAACTCCCAGAATTCCTCTTCTACTTCATTAGCCACCTCCCTGCATCTTCTTGTCTAGGCTAAAATTTAAGGTCCCTGGGGGCTTTTGCCATCCATTTATACTTTTCTTACATAACAGGAAGTATACACAATCACATCTAGAGATAGCTTGGTAACACAACTTCAGACAATTGGACCTCTGCTAGGGATACTTTTAAGTAACACACATCCCTAGCACATAACATCTGGGATGGTCTGATGATTTACTTTATAAATAACCCAGATAAATATCTGTTTGCCAAAAATATCTCTACATGTTGTCCTCTTTATTTTAATTATTACAAGTAGCAACCTAGATAAAAGCTCACAGTGATTTATAATGAAGCTATCCATAAAGCTTGCTGTTTCTTCCATGATCTTGGAGGAATTTGCAATACAAAGACTGTAAGTTATATACAATTTGCAACAGCTAGCTAGAGTACCTTTATATGTGCAGAAGGAAAAAAGGTTTCAACACCACTAACTCCTTACCAATTGTTTGCAGTGCCACTGCATCAAATCATTAAAAGTATGAACACTCTTATAAACACAATTTAGAAACTTCTACAAAATTTGGAGGAAAAATAGCATCAACAGGTGACCCCACTTCAACTGCTTAAAGGGTTAGCAGCTCTTGTAGTATGTTATATAGTATAAGGTTAGTCTCTGCTGACAGGAGTACTTTTTAATATAAATCTTTACCAGGAGCACCTATTTCAAAAAGCAGAAGTCAATCTCAGCCCAATAGCAGGAAATATACCTTTCTTAAACAAGCATTCTTTTCTAGGTTGTGAATGAATATTGAACTGTGGTCACAGTAATATTTGCATACATACACACAAACACATCTGCACACTTTATGTATGGACAGCATTTGGATCAATGTTATATTAGCAGAATGATAAATAGAAATGATCTGAGTTAGATGGTAGCTACACCACTTCTGCTTATCTGCATTATCAGGAGGAAAACTACTAACCAAACAAGAATGCCAATGGCTGTTAACAGCAAAATCACCCTATATCTACAATGGCATAGAGAATCTGTGTTTTGGGCAAGAAGATGAAATCAACTTATCACCTAAACTATAGCATCATATAAATACTAAGAAAAGAAATTTATTAACAATTACTCTGAGTAAGAGTAATAGGCAATCAAATAATAAAAGATCTTTTAAATGCTGGTATTTGGTCACGTCCTTTTATAGCAGCAGACTAGCCATTTTTCTCCAATGACTGATATGGCTTCAAAGTCAAGAAAATTTAGAAATCAAAATCTATTTCACTTATTATTAGAAATCATTTTTTTTTAATATCAGCCAGTGGTGACTACCAAGATGACACTTGGGGCAACAGTAAAATGTTTAGTTCCACTGATCAATGGAATGAGTCTTTAGTAACATTCCTCATTTTCAGTGTCCTACCCCAAGGGAAGAAGCCAGCTTTGAATCCATATACATATCAGAAGATTAATAGAACAGCAATTTTGAATGCTTTGAGAGGTAATCAGTCAATGAGTGTTCTTCTTGTCCCTTTGATGCATGTGGGAAACTGTGAAACGGCTTCCTTACAGACTTTGCTGCGCAGGTCCCATAGCTTGAGCGTTCTGTCATGACTCCCAGATACAATGCGAGCTTTGTCCAGAAGGAATTTGGCTGATAAAACCTTTCCACTATGCCCCGTGAGCGTGTGCTAGAGAAATTGACATTATGTAAGAAAACAAATTTTTACAACACTTGGCCTCACCATTCAATAGTTTAACAGAAATAGAATTTTAACGAATTACCTAGCCTTCATTCTACACTGAGAATTAAGAATCAGGCTTTATATACAAGTATGGTTTTGGTATGTGAAATAGATCTCCAAAAGGTTGCACATACAGGTAGTCCTTGACTTGATAACAGTTCATTTAGTGATCGCTGAAAGGCAAAACAGCACTGAAAAAAGTGACTTATGGCTGTTTTTCACACTTACGACTGTTGCAGCATCCCCATGGTTACATGATCGAAATGTAGATGCTTGGCAACCAATTCATATTTCTAAGTGGCCTGGGTCATGTGATCACATTTGTGAACTGACAAGCCAAGTCAATGGGGAAGCCAGATTCAATAACAACCATGTTACTAATTGAACAACTGCAGCAATTCACTTAACAACTGTGGCAAGAAAGGTCATGAAATCACTTAAGAAATGTCTCATTTAGCAATATAAATTTGGAGCTCAAATGTGGTCTTAAGTCGAAACTACCTGTATTTTTTCTTTTATTAGTGTTATATTTAACAATGGAGCACAGATACGGTTGGTAAATGAAACCTATAATTGTCTACGCTGGGAATATGCAACAAGATATGGCTCACTGTTATATCCTGTTGCCATTTGTTTCCTAGGAATATCTTCAGAATTCTTCAAAAAGCCATTATCTGGCCTCTGACCCATCAGTGAAGTTCTACAATTTTAAAAGAGAAGTCCTTTCCAAGTTCCTATAATTTAATACAGGTAATCCCTTGACTCATAACATTTATTTAGTGCCCATTCAAAATTAAAATGACACGGAACGAAGGAACGTATGATCTCTGCCTAAAGTTAAAGCCTCCAGAGCAGGAAAGAAGGCCCAAGGCCTGCAGGAATCCAAGGGAGGGAAGTGGAGCATGGGCTGCCTGGGAGGCTTGGGAAGCCAGGGGAAGTGCTGCAGCATAGGTTTGGGCCTGCACTAGATCAAGGCAGTGCAAAGATTGGGATTGTTAAGCGAGGTGATCCTGTGCATGCTCTTCTTAATTACTATCGTGACTTGTGACTGAAATGGGCAGGTTCGTTACGGTCATAAGTCGAGGACTACCTGTACTTACTATTAAATATACATTTATATTTATAAAAGTTCAATATACAGAATATCATTAGCAAATCTAGTAAGAGTTCATAATCTATTTCAGAGCAGTTCTAGCAGCTTGCTACTTTTTTAATGCAAGATTCTCAGGGACTGAAAATAAAGTTGTCTGCATATAAAACATGCTCCTACCTTCTGAGCTATGGTAAAAAAAAAAAGAGTGTATTAGAGAAGTAATGAATATGGAATACACTTTTTATGTTTACCAAACCAGTTTCAAAAATTTGGAAACCTAGTGCTGTTACTATCCATTTTTATACTGTTTAGTTACTATTAAAATATATGCAATTATAAAATTATATAATTCTTTCAGAATCATATTAATTTGGAAAAAATACTTAATACCTGTTTCCAAATAGTATGTTCAAAACTTTGTGTTGGAAATATCAAAGAAGTCATATAAATAAAAATAGGTAAAAGACAATTAAAGGGCAACTCAAATTTTAATATATTGAGGATTAACATCCATTATCACACCCAATTTCTAACATTTTTTATAACTATAAACCTTGCCAGAATCAGGCACATGCGCCATCTCTTAGAAGAAATACTCACCCGTAACCGATGATCATCCACTGTCCAGATCCTACTGGCATAGTCATTTGAAGCCGCTAATAAGTAGGAACCCTATGGAAATGATTTTAAAAATGTTTTTTATAACCATTTTTTATAATCTGAATTTCTAAGTAATTTTGTTTCACATTATTTTATTATCTCTTATCTCAATCTAGACCATTGCCTATTCTTACTTCTTTTGGGGTTTATTTAGTTTTTTGAAGCTTCATTACCATTACATATTCTTCCCCTCTTGTCTATCTTGATTCCATTTTTTTCCTCCATTATCTTCTCATTTATTTGTCTCACCCATTCTATTCCTAATTCTTCTTTCAGCTGCTAGTGTCCTGCACAGAGATGTTTTGCTTCATTTAAGAGGTCTCAGTTTAAAAAGCTGAGATCATATACCCATCTACTTGCCTCCAGTACTTAAAACTCCTTTATTGTTTTATGTTGGATAACAATTTCAGCCATGTCTACTCAATACTCTACAAGGAAACAAGCTGAATATATCACAATATATCAGCAAATATTCTCCCACGCATAGCATTTCTACAGCTCGATGGAAGAGTAACTGCTGGGAGTTAGATGGTAAGGGAAGCAATATTCTGGGCAAATCACACCTTTTACTATTCATCACTGACCTCAGCAAAACATTGTTGCTGTCTTGTAGAAGTAGTACGGACTGAAGTCATATGCCTCAGTAATATTAAAAAAATAACCTGCTCATGGTATATGCTCAAAGTACATATACCACCTATTTTTACAGGCAACAGGCCTAGTTTTTTCAGTTACTTCCAAAAGGAAAAAAGGCTAGTGTTATACTAAAAAGATGATAACTTTATACAACTTCTGAGCAATTGCTTAATTTTCCAGATGATCTGCCTTTTAATGTACATTGGTATTATTCAAGGAAGATGATAGACATATCACAAACTATGGGTTCAGAAAATTTTGGAATTAAACATAAAACTAAAGCCCAATGCTTTTCTTTTAGGGAAGGCAGATAATGAGTTGTGGGGAAAAACATGGAGCTTTATTTTTATATATAACATCAATGGCAAGTGATGTACTAGTGAAGCAGGGCAGAACATACTTGCAAAAAAAGAAATACATCCATACTCACAGCATTATCAAACTCTACACTAGTAATCCCTGCATTACTGCCAGATAGCGAGGCTTTAAATTCACACTTATCTGTAATACAAAAGAAAAGATTTAGGAGACAAGGAAAAGCATGAATGCACAGCAATTTCATTCAATCTAGCTAAGAAACATATCTCAAAGATACAAACCACAGAACTGGTCATTTAGAATTAGTGATATGTCAATTCCATTTCTTGATTCATAAAACTGATTTATAACTAAGGCAGGCTGTAAGACTCAGTTTTGACTACTCTGTCTTATAATGATATTTTCAGAATTTGGGCACAGAAAATTCTCTTTTCCAAATCTAGGTATTTCACTATATTTTTCTAATGGAAATGGCAGGGGTTATCAAACCAAGACTGTGCTGCATCACTAGATCCATATATTATATGTCTTATTGTCTAGACAGTTCTGGAAAAGACATTTAATCCCTTCAATGCACTAAAGAATTTATTTGGGGATTCCTACATTAATTTCTTAGTTCAGAATTGTAGCTACCCTTTAAAGATATCAACTATGGAATCAACCTCGGCAGCAAAAAAGCATGTCTCCACAAATTAAAACCTCTTGTCTCTTTTGTCTATATTTATTTAAAGGACTTACCACCAAACACTTCCCAAATTTTGACCCTACGGTCCAAGCCTCCTGTTGCTAATAAGCGAGAACCAGGACTGAACTGGACTGCATTAACCTCCCCATCATGTGCATCCTGAGAAGATGAAAAACAATACACAGACAATTACTGATGATTTTAGGACCCAGATCTGTCAGCACTAGCAGCATGTATTAAAAAACTGAACAAGGTTCTAAAAAAGTAATAACAAAAAGTCTATCAACTCTTGAGTTCTTCAGTACACATTTCCTGTTTAAAGCTATCTATAAGAAACATTATGAGACCCAGTTTGGTTAAGATATCAGACTAGAAACAAGGACACTGTGAGTTTCATCCTGCCTTGGGTATGAAGTTAGCTGGGTGACTTTGGGCCAGTCACTTTCTCCCAGCTCTAGGCAGAAAGCAATGGCAAACCACTTCAAAAAATGTGGTCAAGAAGACTTCAAGGACCTGTCCAGGCAGGTTGGCCATGATTGAATGAAAGAAAAAAGAAACTAAATACATGTATAACCAATATTACTTACACACACACACACACACACACACACACAGACAGACAGAACAAAAACCTAGCGACTGTTTTTTTGGCATCGAAGAGTTCTACATCCTAAAATACCGCATTAAGAAAAATACTGATGAAATGATAAAAACTACATGTTGAAAAGCAGTCAAGAAAAGAATGAGATATTAGTAATACAGTAAACCTGACTATCTTATTTATCAGAATGAAAAAGAAAATTTGAGCTAATTTTGCATTTATAAGGTTAAAAGGTAAAGGTTTCCCCTGTCCAGTCATGTCTGACTCTAGGGGACAGCATTCATCTCAGTTTCTTAACTTTTCTGTGATCATCTATGCTGAGGCGCACCGAATGCTGTCACTTCCCACCAAAATGGTGGGAAGTAACAGCATTTACAAGTATTTATCTACTTGTATTTGCATGCTGTCAAACTGCTAGGTGGGCAGGAGCTGGAGAAGTAACGGGAATTCACCCTGTCGCACAGTGCTCGAGTGTTGAATCCAAGCTGTCAGCGTTCCAGCTGACAAGCTCAGCAACTTTAATGGCTGAGCCACAGCATTCCCTTTATAAAGTAAAACAACTACTAAATTTGTATTTGTGTCTGTATGTTTCTATGTACAGTATTTTTTCTAGATTATGTTTAGTACTTGTACATTATGAAGTGATTTCACGCTGTTTAGGATTAAATGCTTACGTTATAGAAACATATTTGTTGTATGTTTATTCCATGTCATTCGTAAAAGTATTCCACATATGTGATATTATTTTTAATGACTTTATGCATTTAATTAAAAAAAACTACTACAGAAGTTTAAAGTAGAAAAGTGATACTGAGTCAGAAAAAATATTTGCAGGAAATAAAGAGGTCTCAGCTTGAAAACTAAAGATCATGCACGTTAGAACACATTCCAGAACTGGCAGCTCCTTGATTAGTTTTGTTGGGAGAGAGTCAACTCTAAGTGCTTTCGACTGCAAGCAACATGAACTGACGATACCCACATAATGTCAGCAGCTTCATAACATCTGACAGCATTACTGGAGCATGGATGGGAGAAAAGAAAAGAAAACTGTTGGGAGCTCTGGAAGTTGTGGATGTGCAGTTTCACTAGTGCAATCAGACCATCCTGTAATCATCATTGACCTCAGTATTTTTTAGCATTTCTCAGGTTTTGGCTGGTTTAAAAAGATCCCATTTCTTGTTGCAAAAGCCACACTACAATTCTTTCCAAAGTCACAAAAGCCCCTTTGGCTAGCCATGTCAAAAACATACAGCATCTCATCAGGAAAACAAAGAAATAATTGACTGAACATGAAGTAAAACCTGAAGCACTTTACATGCTTACACGGCAAAGTATCACCCAAAAGTAAATGAGAAAACTACTCAGTAAGACTTATTATTTTTTTTAAGATAGTGAATCCAAGACATACTTACAAAGACACACGCTGCTGTGTTGGGTAGTCGGACCTCTCTGCTTGCAGTAGGATGTACATCAGTATTATCTTGAGGAATAGGACATGAGGATAAAGAGCGCCTCCTGAGAAAGTTACATTGATACGCAAATTAGTATATAAGGGAAATTAGCTATGTCTCCAGATTATAGGTAGTGGATGACCTCAACTACACAATACGTAAAAATAGAAGGAAAGGAAAGGAGTCTTAAAACAAATTCAAGTATTCAACAAAAAAAAAATCAATACCCAGAGATGGTTGTGCATATTAGGAATTTCTCTACAGCCTTTGCATCTGGTTTCTCACATGAAGCCAATCAATTGAATAAAAACTTCTCATGCCAGACTGGGGGAAAAGTTATCACCATTACAACTGTTGCACTGAATCCCAAACTAAAATTGTTTGAGTTGAGGTACACCATATTTATTTGTTTACTTGTTAAATATCTTATTGTTAAGTCCCTTTTCCTTTTTCTTATATGAGATAAATTGATTAATCTATGATTAATGCCTAATTTAAAACTCAGATTTTATTATTAACAGAGAGCTTCTACGTAATACAATAACTAAATTTAACGGGGGCAGCAATCATGTAGATTATGTTCAGCATTTCTTCCCTAAGTAGTTATACCTCATGCATCCATGATATATCTATGCATTTATTTAACTGGGATATCTTTTCAATGCTACAGAAACAACACAAGACAATTATTCAGCAACCTTCATCACATGCTAAATTAAGTGTGAATAATTTCAAGCAAATTTTCACCTGGCAGTATCAGAAGAGTGATGTCCCAAAAGGGGAGACTCAGACAGACTGGAGGGGAAGATCAGAGGTCAGCACACAGCAGAAGTAAGGAGTTGAACACAAAAGAAAAGGAGAGATAGGAGCTAGAAGAAGGCTTGACATAAGAAAAATTGTTTGAATGCCTAGTATCACTGAAGTGCTGCTGTATATTGAACTAATATGTAATGAAAAGGTAAATGCATACCAACCTACCCAAAGATATTAGTGATAGAATCCAGAAGGCCTCCAGGGGGCTGGGAGAGTCGCTTACTAAAGAGAAGGGAAGGACAGTTTTCAAGGAGATCAGAACACACAAGGCCATAACTCTCAAACTTGAAGTAAGAAAAGCAAATGGTAACAGGACAGCACAAAAAGCCACCATCTTGGTTCTAAGTCAAAAGTTTGCATAAACAATTATGAACTGAACACTGTTGTTATATGAGCAGGAAGAAAAAGATATAATTCACCAGAATTTTGAGAATAAAATTAAAGGTATACTTATATGAAAGCAGAGCATATTCCCAAGCGTTCTCATGACTAATGTGACGGTTGGCCTATAACAGACTTTAACAGGAAGTTAAATGTTTTTGCTTTTAAGCCAGTTTAAATGGAAAGGCTCTAAGTTCTGCATGTTTTGTTTGCAGATTCAATTACAATGTAGGGTTGGAAAAACTTTGGCTAAGAATCTATTATTTGTAGCTGTCATCAACATTAGATGGGCTATCCAAAAAGGCAACTTTTTATAAAACCTGCAATATTAACTATCAAGGCCCTTAACATTTGCAGCCTTTATAATTTTGATCTTGTTAATGTTTACATAGAGAGGATTTGAGTCTCCCTTTACTATTACCATGACATGACTCTGCCGTAAACAAACTTAGAATGTTGATATAAATCCAACTCTTGAAAGCTGTGAGAGGCCACTTCCTAACTGATGGAACACCTTAAAATTCAAGGCCACAAAAGCTTTATTTACACTGCTCTTTCCAATGTCAGGAATAAATACTGCTATGGTAGAAAGCAGATGTGGATAGAAATTCCCTATATTTATTTGAGTCCTACAATTTAGAAACATTCCTAGCTAATAATACTGAAAAATAAGAAATCTCCACAAAAGAATTCAGTAGAAATAACATAACTAAACTCTGTAACTATTGGAGTGTTTCTTATGGGCATAGTTCACTAGCTAATTTTCCCATTTGTATCCCATTAAAAATGGGAGTAAAAAAACATCAGCTGTGCAATTCTCATTTTATTACAAAGGGCATATGCTGATAAATTATTTTCATACTGGCATATGTTATCAATTAATTTATAATTCATCTATCCAGGAAAGAATATTTTTTCTCAATACATTTTCTTCTCAAAATGAATTCGCCTGAATCAAATCAGGAATACCTATGAATTTTTTTCCACTTGAAAATATTTAATGAAAGTATTTGGAAAATATGTTTTCAAACATCTCTGCTCACATACTACCTTGCTGTCCGTGTGACAGCACGAACCGGAGATGTCTCCTCAGCTGGATCGGAGGTTTCATCAGCAAGGACTTCAATATCATCATCCCTGAAGAAAGACAGATCATTCCTTGAATGTTCAAGAAGATCAGGCATTTCATATTAAACAGCCCTCTTCCCCTACTATTTCAAATACAAAATTTCATTGCCACTGTTAATAGCATGGGTCATAGATATGTGAACAATAACAATAACAAAAATAGCGATGTCATGGATGTATTTTATTTATCTTTTACCATTTCTAATCATATTATTTAATTTATAAAAAAACTTTTATAAATTGTTTATTTTGTTTGAATGTGACTTTTCCCCTTACTATTTCCTGGCATGGGATGAAAATTAACTCTCGGCTCTTTAACAGAGACGATCAAAAAGTCAAAGAGGAAACAAAAAGACCAAAATACTTTCTTACTAGCAATTAACACCCAGATAAGCAGAGGTTAATATCAAGACTAGCATTAGAGCAAGAAGCAAACAATACTGTAATCAAGGAATTACCAACTCAGGCAAACAAGCTAAGTGAATCAGGCAAAGGAACCATCAAAACCATTCCTACAAATATTGACAGGGAAGCCACTGGAATATAAAATGAGAACAAACCCCATTCCCTATACCTGCAGCATTGATGGTATTACTTAGTTTGGTAGTGAAATGTCTGCAAGAAAACAACAAAGCTCAGAGACCACCAAGGACACTACAATTTCAGCTCTAAGGCTGGTGCAGTTCCTGGTCATTTTTAAGACTGCCAGAGGAACAAGATGGCTTTGGATCCAAGATAACAACAAGCCCCCTCCAAGCACTATCTGATTACAGATACATATTCATTCAGCAGCAAATATTTTAAAGTTATAACCAAATATTAGTATAGTCATTCTTTATATGAGAGCACACACTTGTAATATTAATCATAATAAATTCGGGAAATTAAGTTAGGGTCAAGTGCAAAGAATCAGGATCACATGTTAACTATTGCTCAATCCTATACTCATCATCAGCACTAAATTGGCACTAGACAAGAATTAACAGAATTCAGGGAAGGGAGGCGGGATTCTAGACTGATTCCTCTCTTGACTTCACCCCCAGGCTCTGCCTTTTCTTCTTCTACAGTTAGGCAGGAATAAACTTACTCATTTTTTGTATTTTCAGCCTGGAAATGGAAATAATGTAGTCATTAGGAAGTAATTAGACTGATGAATGCTTACTGTTCAATTGGCAGTGGTTCTTTAGCAGCTTCTGCTAGTTCTTTCTGAAGCCGAGCTTGCCTTCTCCTAACAGAAAAATATTAGGAAATATGTGTCAACTCTGTAATATTTATCAATATTCATTTGAACAGCTGTATTCAAACTATTAAGTATTAATACTTTGTATTAACTGATAATTAGAATAAATTATTGGCTTAAGCTCCCTGGGATAGAAATCCCAGTGGATAGATTTGTTGCCTTAAAAATGTATTTATATCTTGACACTAGTAAAATGTAAAGCTCATCAGAATATGCTGGTTCTCATGTCTCTAGGCCCAAGTGAAAACTTAACTGCCCAGAAATGTTTATCTTAATTAGGCTGTTAAGATGTCTTGAAGTAATTTTGTAATTCTTACAGGGCACTCAATTACTTAAATAAAATAGCTCTAATCAGTGCAATATATGTTAAGAGCTCACTCCATACTGACCTATTGTGAATTATCAGATGTTATTTCCAACACAGAAACTGATGTTAATTCTATATTGAGTCTACTCAATCTAGAATATAGTATAATAGCCACTCTACATTATGAAAAAAAATCAGGAAAAATGTGGCTATTTGAATGGGCATAATCTGAATATTATGAGGTAACATTTAACTATTTTATAGTCTAACCAAGTCTAAACCTCACATAAAAATTTACAAACATAAGGATTTAAAGACTAGACCTCAGAGCTGGTTTAGTTCAAAATCCAATCAAGTCAAACCCTGGTTAATAACTGAAAAATTATCAAAAAAATATCAGATCAGACTAGGAAATTGAAAAACATTCCCAGAAAGGTTGTATGCTGTATGGATGAGTCACTAGGACTTGAGCTCAACTTGAAGAAACCTCTACCATTAATTCAAAGGATTCAAAACCATATCCAAAGGCTCTGTTAAATAAAAGAAAATGACATACAGGGCACATGCATAAGAAGAAAGAAAGAAGAAATGTTGAGGATGGGTTTTAATACAGGCTTAATTTGAACTCACACACTTACATGGAAAATACTATCATACCTTAAATCTTTCTCATTTTCTGCATTGAGCCGATTAGCTTCTTGAGCCTTTTCTGCCATCCAACGGGTTACCAGTTCTTGGTTATCTTCAGTGGTTTTTCTTAATTTTTCTTCAAGAGCAGTAAAGGTGATTTGGAGAGCATCATATTCATCCTTAAGAGTCTGATTAGCTCGTTCAAGATCTTGAAGCTTGTTACACAAATCATGGCACTCAGTCTCCAGTTCAGATATCTTCTGTAAATATTCTGCAATTCTTCAATGGAAGCAACTAATATAATGAAAATCTGAAGCTAGCTAGGACCAAGATAAAGTTCTATTGGTAATAAATTGATTTTACTCACTTGACATTATTTATTTGTATTTCTTTGTCCTTCTGTTGTATTTGATTGTTTAGGTCAATCACAGATTGAGCCAACTGCAAAAAAAAAAGTAGGTGGGAATAATTTTAATGTCAATTAATATTAACAATAATTAATAATGTTAACTATATTAACAAAGAATCACAATTCTTAATATGGACAATGGTTTTGTGTCTCCTTTGGTGAATGTACTTTATTCAGAATGTATTTTATGTCTCTCAATCAAAAGCAAGATATGCTCTATTCATTTGGCAGATTCACAAACCCATATGGAACAAACTTAAATAAGCAATATATACAAAAATGAAGACAATCATGACTATATAATGTAGCTGAAAGGTACCATAAGTTATACCTTAATTTCTAAACACAGAATCTTAAAAGAAGTAAGCATCATAAATCATTTTCAAGGTTTCTAGTAACAGATGAAGAAAGGCATCACAAAAGCAAAGTATCTTAATTAAAAATTGAACACATGCTACAGTCTAAAATAATATTTTTTTACTACAATGAAAGCAACAGAAAAGCTGAAAAGCTGACTGCTTATTGTAAAAAGTTATTTTGGAGATACATTTTTATTGTTCTGAAATTTATGGGATAGAGAAATAAATAAGTAACAGTATGCACATTGTATTGCTGCAAGTAAGCACAATGTTTTTCCTAACCTCGCCCCGTTTCTTGTGCAGCTCTGTCAATTCCTCTTGATGTTTAATCCTTAATTGAGCTACTTCTTGAAGATGAGCATCATTTCTTGCACCATCATGTCCTGGGCTGAATTTTCCAAAGGAACAGAGGGTAAGATTAAATAAACTTATTTAATCATACGGATCTATACCTATAGATAGGTTAAAATGGCAATTGGAGCCAGAATTTCCATTACTAAGTTATCAAGTTGTAAAGTGTGAAGCTATGTGACCACATTGCTTAGCAAAGCAATTCTGAAGTCCTAGTTGCTGCAGGACAGTGACTTCTGACTTAGTGCTGACTTTTCCATTGACTTTACTTATGGGAAGCCAGCAGTAAATGTTGGAAATTGCATTCAACAGGGAAATGACAACAGAGACACTGCAATGGCTGGAATTCTCAGGACTGATTATAAAGACCAATTGTTTCTTTGCCAGTGTAACTTTGAACTGTTGCAAAATGGTCGTTAATCAAGGACCTGTACTGAACAATAACTAATATCTTCATATATTGACTTTCCACTGACGTTTCACTGAGATTACATTAAGCAATTCCCATTCATCTTGATATTGTATGCTACTGATCTCTATTTTAAAGAATTAAGTATCTTTTTAAGGACCCTTTGGATGTTTGGTGGGAGGAGGGCTTATCTATCATTCCAAATGTCCCCCCCCCCCCAAAATGAAATCATTCAGTATACTAGTAACATTTTAATAATATAATACTTTGCCTGAATTTATATATTTGCATGACATTACACAATTTGATGTAATTTGCATCAGTTGCGTAACTTATCACTGAGTATTCCTTGCCCTACGACCACAATTGGGACAAGAATTTCCACTGTTAAGCAAGGCAGTTGTTAAGTGAGTCACTGTACTTGTTAACTGTATTGCGTGGTTATTAAGTGAATCCAGCTTCCCCCATTGGCTTTCCTTGTTGGAAGACTGCTGTGAAGGTTGCAAATGGCAATCACATGACCTCAGGATGCTGTAATGATTGTAAATACATATGGTTGCCAAGCACCTGAATTTTGATCACTTGACCATGGGGAATGCTGTGACAATGTGAAGACTGATCATAAGTAACTTGTTTCAGTGCCACTGTAACTTCAAATAGTCACAAATTGAATGGCTGTAAGTTGAAGATTACTTATATAAATAGTACATATGTTATAAAATTAACATAATAAAGCATATACAACATGTACAGCACCAAACACAAAGTTTTTTAATAGTAAAAATGTAATGAATATTACACAGGAGAGTAAAACGCCCAGTTATATTGAATAGAATAATATATTGAATAGAACAGAATTCTTTATTGGCCAAATGTGATTGGACACACAAGGAATTTGTCCTTGGTGCATATGCTCTCTGTGTACATAAAGAAAAAATAAAATATATTCATCACGAATCATAAGATACAACACTTGATAGTGTTAGTCATAGGTTACTAATAAGCAATCAAATCATACCAGGAAACAAATAAAACAATATAAATTATAAAGATACAAGCAACATGGTTATAGTCAAAAATGGGGAGAGAGAGCCACAATAACTGTCACTATAATTGATTCAACAAGTACCTGATCTCATGCCGGCTTGGCAAATCATACTTTTCCACTTGTAGCTTGTCAGCCAGCACTGAATGAAAATCTGACTTCTCCAAGAGCTTGTTATCTAACAGGCCAAAATATTTAATTTTAAAAAAGGGAAAATAATATTAGCTGTGCAGTCAATTAATAAGTTTGCTATGCCATTATACTCTATGGACTGATGTAAAATTTTTAGAGAAATTATACCTATTTCAGATATGCTCTTGTACTGCTGTGAAAACCTGCCTAAGAAGACATTCTCTCACAGTACAGAATAAGATTATGAGGTCACACTTGTTCAACTAGGCTTATGTAAACAAATGAGTCATTTAATAAGACATTGTTCTACTTTATAACCTGGTATTTTGAATAACAGAATCTGGAAGGGGATTATCTGATGTAATCACAAAAGACTGTTCCAGATTGCAAAACCTCTCTTTCACCAAATAGGTGCTGGCCTCAGAGCAAATATTTCAAGCAATCAAGTAATTCTCCTTGTGCTATTGAACCAATGAGAAGGTTCCTTGTCCCAGAGCAGAATGTAAACAAGAAGTATTCAAAGTTCAGGGTTGGGATTCAATATTTTATTACAAACCCAAGTCCACAAAAATGGACTAGTTTAGCATACTGCTCAAAGCACCAGACTAGACTCCAAGTGACCAAGAGTTCTAGTTGTATTTTAGCATGAAGCCAGCTGGATAACTTGATTCAAAGGTACATACACACACACACACACACAAATATCAAATGTAATATGCAAATAGCATTATGCCTCACTGGAGTGGATACATTCTAAATCTTTGTTTATACATTAATCCACAGAGTTCATAAATTATCTGGGTGGTTGTAACATAGAAGTGCCACAAAAACCCCAAATGACTATGTGCACAAAACAGAGAATCACAAACCAGTGAACAAATTTTAGCCTAAAGTATTATGTGAATTTGGCCTAAGAAACAATAATGTGTTTATAAATTTATGTATAAAATTATAGGTGAAGATAAAATTAGTAACACACAACTCCTTTTTTTCATACAACATATCATTCCTTTTTTCTTTATTTTCTGGAATCTATTGAAGAAAATTTGTATTCAATTCAATTGCATTGTAAAACAGTTAATTGGGAAATTTTGCTAGTTGAAACTTTACTGAAGTTTACTGAAACGGGCCCAAAGACTCATCAACCAAACTAATTAAACTACAGTAGCAACAAAACATCTTTTATCTAGTCGAGCAATCACAATATTTATAACTGAATTCACTGGCAATTCTGGCCTGCTAGTTAAAGTGGGGGAAAATTTCTTACATTGCAAGATTATCTCTTCAAAGGCCTGTCTTTGTAACCGGTCTCGACGCTTCAGTTCATCCAGGATATGTCGCTTCCAGGCGGGGAAGCTCGACGTCTTAAGCCCAACCGACATGTTGCCGGAGGATCGGGGACGTTACACCCTGCCCCAAAACACTCAAGTCATCTGGCTGCGGGTTTCCCCTGTAACACAGTGGGTGTAGAAGAGCTGGATCCAGGACTCTAAAGAATACGATAACGATAACAAGGCAGTTGGAAGAAGTCAGGCAGCCCGATCGGGGTTGGGAAAGAAAGAGGAAGGGATCATGTCGGAGAAGACCAGGAGAGAGAATGGAAGGGGGCCAGAAGATTGGGAGGCGTCCAGTCATCCTGGCTGCCGGGCCTACCCAGGAACAGACACCAGACCAACGGGCAAAACTCACCGTTGACCATCGAGGAGAAGGAGGGGGGCAGTTGGGTGCCTCCTTCACCTGGAAGGCCCCTCCGCGCACCCCTCGATCGGGCCGTAGCCCCCATCCATTTCCGCGACACTCTTTCACAGAGTTCCCCTTGGTCCAAGAGAGATGGCGTCACTAGCGGGCTTTCTCTTCCTGCGTCGCAGGCTAATCACTTTAGGCTCCAGCCTTGGTGCCTGATTCACAAGACCGCCCTTCCTGCGGAAGGTGGATCGCGCAGTTAGCGATCGCACGTCGCTAAATCAGTTACTACCCCGCCGGCCCATCCTTGCGAGCGCCCTTTCTGGTTAAACGAGGGCTGCGCGGCAATTGTCAAGGCAAAAGCGGGGTAGAAAATGGCTGCAAGACGAGGCTCGTCAGGGCTCCCTGGACACACGCCATTTTAGGCAAGGATGCTGGGAAGAGGCGCCTTTGCGGCGCGCCACTTTGGCGGGAAACTGTGGCGTCGTTGGCTCCGCCAAACAGATCGATAGAGGAGTGGTTTTAGGGATACATTGGGCTTAGATGAAACTAAAGGACCAGGGGACGACAGTACCTTTTCCCTCCCACGCGGTGCTCAGCCTAACTTCTCTGCCAGCAGATACGGCAGAAGATCAATGTTTCTCAACCTTGGCGACTTGAAGATGCGCTGGCTGGGGAATCCTGAGAGTTGAAGTTCACACAACTTAAAGCCGCCAAAGTCGACAAATGCCGAAGTGAACCAGAGTGCTACAAATCTTAGTTCTGTGTTACAGTTGGTGCGTTGTTTTGGGGGGCTGTGTTGGTATCCTCCGTACGTTTTCTCCTTCGGTCGGCGTTTATCCAGCGCGAAGATGATAACGTATCGCGCAACTCGGCTTTGGCGAAATAGGTGCTGCCCATCATTTCAGTCTATTTGGTTTTCCTATATAAGGATGACAATGAAAGATACTTTGTTTCCTTTTAAAAATGGGGTGATTTTAACAGTCTGCTCTAAGAGTCCAGCAAAAGAAAGTGTTAGTTGTAATTTTATGTCGACTTTACAGAGTGAAGTAGAAATAGATGATAGAAAACAATATGCTCCAAATATCTTTTTTTTTTGCCGTGATCTTTATTTTCCAGTAACTCTTTTAGAATTTTTAAATATTTTATGTTTTGAAGGCATTGAAGGATTGTATTGGTTTGAGTTTCATTACCATTATAGAATTTTGATGTATGTACATGGGTGAATCTTATCTGTGATAAATAACCTTTCTGTGCAGGCTCCTTCTGCTTTCATCCATCCATGATCCAGTCTCTGCACACTTTTTTCAGTAGTCATTTACAGCAGAGGTCGCCAACCTTTTGCACCTCAGGGACCACCAAACTCATAATTTTAAATCATATGTGGCTTGGTGGTCATGTGACTGGCTGGGCATGGCTTGTATGTAAATATTATAAATGTTTATGTAAACATTGAATTTTTTATAAAAAAAATAACTTTTACCCCAAAACAGGCAAAGCAGGCAGGCAGATTGAGTTGCTCACAGAAACACTTAGAGATCTGTGTTTCTGCCATCGGCTATCTGAGTCTGCACTGAATAATAGAACCTTCAGTCCTAAGGGAGGTTCGGCTCTGCTTAAAAGCAGAGCTGAAAATCTAAAGATTAGCTAGAAAACAAGAAATCCAACGGTTTCTTGCTTTCTAACTAATCTAAATCTCCCAGCACAGGAGAACAACTGATGGTTGGGGAAAAAAAATAGCAACTTAGCAGGCAAGTTTGCCAGGTAAGGAGTGAATGGCAGGGAAGGTTCCTGTAGGCCATGTGGGCAGGGCAGACTTGTGTTCCTGCGCAGCCTGGATTAATTGCTTTGGAGGGTGAGCTTTGGGGGTGACATTTCTCTGCAGACCACCAAAATTTTCTTGTGGACCACCAGTGGACCACCACAGCCCACTGGTTGGCAACCACTGATTTACAGCATTCTCACAAACAGGCTAGGGATTACTAGGCAGGAAATTTTCATAAGTTGTATTCATATGAAACTTCATTGTACTAAATTGTAATATTAAAATTAAAAGCATGCACTGTACATAATTTTTGCACTCATTTTTTCAGGTCTAGACCTCAAATGAACACCATTTTGAAGATTTAGAAACTTGGCTTGGTTACCTAGGTTTATCATTGGTTACAAGGTCATTTTCTAATTTTTCAAGATAAAATTGTTTTGGTCCCAGGTAATGAGTAAATGACATATTTGTTTGCATGTTTATATCATTTATGTCACTCCATTTTCCAGAGTTCTTAGTAACTTGCATTATTGATACAATAAGATTAAAATTATTCAGTGCAATTATAATTGATCAATTTTATATGCCACCATTTGGGGGTAGCATAATCTTATTCATCTCCAAATGCTTTTCTGAAGAGACATGACTACAGCTCTCCAAAAAAGGAGGGGGGTGATTCAAAAATTCAGGAATAAGCTATTCTAAAGTAGGGCCATCACAAAATGCTTGAATCTGGAGACTGAAGATGGAATTCTGGTGGTGATGAGTTCCTCAGCAAACATTTTCTCCTCAGCAAATCTTTTCTCCTGTATCTAATTGGATTGGAAAAGCAATCACATATCCCATAGCATGTATGGTAGAACATCACAAGTACGGTAATAACTAATGTATTGACTTATACATGGAAACAAACTGGTGGCTTCAAGTAGCGAATGTTGCAATAATTCAGTTTAGGGGGATGACAAGGGCATGAGTAGGCATAAAGCTTCCTGAGCTATAAAAGGATGCAACTTGTGCACAAGATGTCGTATTCAGTGGCCCACCTGTAATGGCTTCCATCTGTTTTCATGCAGCTGCAGGTATCAGCCCTGGTAGGTAGCTCAGGTAACCGCATTTCTAAAAAATACTAAAGCTCAACTGTATTGATACAGTTATAATTTTGAACATCTGACATCTGTCTGCTTTTTCATCATACATTAAAACTTAGCTTGTCAAACAAACTAAAAAATAATAATGTGTATATTTAAACTTTATAAAACAATAAGCTTCATTGTTGAGGGGAAAGGATGATTTTATGGCTAGTCTGATTATTACAAGTACTCTAGAGACCTTCAAACGGGAAGCCCCTGATCAGTCACATATGGTGCTGAAAAGTCAGGTGCACTGAGCATTAGATGTACAATATCATAAAAGAATCTATTAATTTCAGTAATTTTGGGCTCCAAATATTGAAAACCGAAGCAAAAGATCTTGAAGTAGAATGATTGGTGTGGTAGCTTTTGTAGGAATTAATGGTGCTTTTAATTTTTAATAGTCAGGGAAAGAGCCAAGAAACATGACTCAGAGTTAAAAATAGCTCTCCTGAGAGCACAACAAAAGCTTTGTCACTGTCTTGCACAGTGGAGCCAGAGTAAGTGACAGAATAATGAGTGTTTAGTGCAATATGTACACCATTTAGCATAGTATATACTGCTTTACAGAAGTTTTGACTAGCTTTTAACTATTTTTAGTCTGAAATGTAAAAAAATCCCCATTCGATCCTCCTTCCTGTAATTCTGCAGCTAAGACTGCACAAATTGTCTCTAATGGGCAACTGGCTATGAGGAAGTAAGCCCAACCTATAAATGTAAGTCATATAGTATGATGAGAACCTAAATCACTATTTAAGTTTCATCAGAGCCATCTAGTTCCAATATGTAGTGTATTGCTGAAGTGAATAATTTCTTTCTGATTCCTTCCTGAGAGGCATGCAACCTTCTGGCCAAAGGCTGCACTTTTAAAAGTTTAATGGAAAAAAAAGATAATTTTGATTTTATTTAAATTAATTGTAATTCACTGGCAGCATCTAGCTAACAACCTGAAAAATAAGGTTGGGTATACTTTTTCAGGACTGTTCAAATACAATCACAGCTGTCAACTTTTTAATTTATCCAATTAATAAGGCTACCCAGTTCAAAATAATTGTTAGGTCTTAAAACAAATTGGTTCAAGAAATCTATACTGGCAGTTCTGTTTAGAAAAACTTAGTCAAGATCTGTCGAAATAAAAGGGTTCTACCATTCTTGTGAAGGAATTCATGGAGTAAGTATGGGAATATAAACCTTGATGTTGATGAGGTTGATAAATAACTGTTCTAAACCCATACAATTTAATAATGCTATGTGTCTGAATTGGAATAGCAAAATTTTAATTCTGTGATGTCTACTTTTAAATATTGTGTTTATGTAGTAATATCTCTGCTGGAAAAAAAAGTTTAAATATATTTCAGGCCATAATTAAAAGCTGAAAGCAATTCTGTTACTGTTATAACCAGCAGCCTTTGGCAGATTTTCAAAAAAAGGAATTGCTAGATATAAAGAAAATAACGTTTTTGTGGATACCTTTTACCATTAAGCTTTTATTAAGGGACAGATAATAGATGGTTGTTGCTTTAGGGCAGGGGTGTCAAACGTGCATTGTCATGGCAGCGTCATGTGATGTATCGTGACTTTTTCCTAAACCATGCATGGGCATGGTCACTGTGTGACGCATCAAGGCCTGTGGGCCATGAGTTTGACAACCCTGCTTTGGGGACATGAATAATGGATTTTTTTAAAAAAATGTAAGTAATCAACAAATTAAAACCAGTCAAATCTGTAACTGAACTAATACTATATGTTAAAAGATGGCAGGAGTGTAATGGCTGAAATGAAAGCCGTGAACTGTCAGAGACCAGGTTTTCTTTCCCTATTTGCATACGTCCATCATATCCAAGGTAACTATTCCTTTCACAGAACAAAGTCCCATCACCTTCCTTGTTTGCTGAAAAGAAAGAAGTATTGGTCCTTTTTAACAGGATGAAATTCACTAGAGGCAGTAGAGATGCAGCCCCCTGCCGTTCTTTAAAGCAGGTTTCTCAACTCCCATCTGCTGTCTGGAGAATTCTGAGAATTGATGTCCACACATCTTAACAATTGCCAAGGCTGAGATTTAGTGGTCAAAAGCAAACCTAATAAGGAAGGGGCAACAATGTACCATACCCGTGCAAAACGGCAGACTTATTTAACTGCAGATGTTAGTCTTTTAAGGACTTGTGCATCAGCATTGCTCCACTCATTAACAAGAGACAAGGCTATTTCCAGCACTGCTGCTGCATCTAAAACATAAGTTGTTCCGTAACAAAGCAACAGCTCTTGTGCAACCAAACTTGTCTGGCTTTCTCTTTATGGACCCAAGGTCCTGTCTGCCCTAGAATTTCCAGCTCTACAATTCAAAATCTTATAAAATATCGTATCTTTTTGTTCCTTGCTCTTCCCCTCTATATCTGCTTATATACAAGCTAAATGTTTATTTTCTTTTTTTAAAACAAAAATCACATGAATGCTACATTTGTTTCTGTTATCCAATCAGATTACAACAAACAATTTAATTAAAGCTACCAAGTCTGTGCCCTTAATTAAAATTTTGAGGATAAGACTGATTTGGGTTGTTGTTAGCCACAACAAAAAATAAAGAACAAGGAGAATTAAAATTAAGCATAATTTTTGACACTTTATTATAAACCTGCAGATAACTTTGGATGGGTGAATATCACAGCTGTTATATGAACTGTAAATAAAATGTGCAAAAAGGATAACTTAGCAAGAAAAAGGGTGGGTTTTTTTTTTGTGCAATACAGCAAAGTACATCTGTTCATAGCAATTTATAGCACAGATTCATCTGTTGTCTTCTGTCCTGTGTTGTATATTGTCAAATATGCCAGTATATGGCTGAAATGCTAACTATTTACAGGATAATTTACTCCTGTAAAGTCCATCTAGCACTCTTAAATCTTCAACATATTTTTAATACATCTTCCTGCCATGGATAAGTTTAATGTCAACAATCAGTTTGGCTTTCTTGATCCATTGTATAGAATAAATTACCACTGAAGTTGCAATAATTTTTTTCTGCATTAAACTTCAGGAAAATCTTAAAATTTATTTTCACAAACCTCTTAATGTTACTATTTTAACATTCATGTTGATACCAGTCCTATTTGTTTTTACGGTGTTTTTAATGTTTCTTAGATGCTGTCTAGCATCATTAAGGGAGCAAGGTGGTACACATGG